AGACTGTGGGGGCGATATGCTGACTCTGTAAACCACTTAGAGAGGGCTGAAAGCCCTATGAAGCGGTATATAAGTCTAACTGCTATTGCTATAACCTTGCTTTCTTTTAGCAGACAGCCTATCAAGCATTGATCATATTATTAGATATAAATAATAACTATGGGAAGCCGGATCGGGAGAGGATTTGGGAGTCCCGGTGCTTCTGCTTAATAAGATAGAGAGTATTCGTTTTACATCAGCAGTCCCCAACTCCCTAGGCTACGGCCCACTGCCAGGTCACAACCCATTCAGAATACATACAAAGATTCATTTATGTGAGTGGCAAGTGCAAATGAAGCTGCACTCACTCACGTGCATGCCTGCTGCTCACACAGGACCATCTCCTCTCCCCTCCCATCTGCCAAGCTGGAAAAATTGGGGACTGCTGCTTTACATTTTAAGCCCTATGTATTTCCAACGGAGAGTGTCCATGTATGACTTCTGTATTCTGAGACTGCACTCCGAATACGAAACCGAATATGAGTATGCCAATGTAAGTGGCTGACTCACATTGGTGGAACTGAAACCAAGACACTGAAGCCTCTGATGTAGAGGGGCAGGAAAATGATATTGTTTCACTCAGGCAGGGTATTGTTCCACTCGGAAGTCTGAATAATTTATATTGCACTGCTTTGCCTTCTGCTTCTAAAGTGCATAGTTCAAGAGATGGACTATAATACTAGGATGTGAGGGCAGGAACAGACTGTGAAGATCATCTAGTCCAACCTACTGTCCAGTTCAAGAATCTGCTAAGCACATCCCTGACAGATGGCCAGGCAGTGTCTGTTTAAAAATCTCAACATACTTTTTAAAAACTCTTGATTTTTAATGGAATTTTGGCAAGTGTCAAGAGGTGTCAAAATGCCTGGATGTAAGTCACTGTCATTGTCATCCTCAGGCATGAGTGATCTGGAAAATGATTGCCTTATACTAATGGAATCCAAAAGCATATGAGCTGCCTATAGTTTTACTTTTTTTAAAAACCAAGAAGCAATACAGAAGAAAAAAAATTAACTGAAGTGCAGATAAAAGGAGTTCGTGAAAGTATTGGCTGCTTCATAACACATTTCTGTTAGTAGCTTCTGCATCTTTTGGCCAAGGTTTACATCCGTGGCTATGATCTAATTAATCTAAATCTAGGAGTAGCAGGCTAGATCACAAATAATCATATATCTACATTTCAAGAATCTACTACTCTTTCCAAAAAGTGGACTTTAGGAACAAATAGGTTGTTGTCTAGTAAAGCTAGTATATTTTGTAGGGCGGGGGGGCAATATATTTTGTAGTCTGAGAATAAAAGAATTTGATAACTAGACAGATTATTTGGGTATTAAAGTTTCTTTACCATGTGGAACGGGAAAAAGGAAT